CTGTAAAGATATTTGCAAAAATTTAGGGGCCGTTTACTGAACACTTATTTAATAAGTGCTTATCGGACAAATTTTCTCATCAGATAAACATGAGAAGGGCCAAGAATCTTACCGGGTAAGAGCGCTGAGAAGTATGGAGAGTCGTATCCGGTAAGTGAGGATGTCGACTCTTATCCAGTAAAATATTGCATTCGATATGTTTTGATGTATTAAAATCTTACGCATCAAAATAAATTATAATGTTGATTCTTATCAATAAGCGCTTACCGGGTAAGCATTTGGGTAAATGGCCCCTTAATTACTCGCCACTCAACCGGTTCCATATAGAACTCGTTTCTAAGGACATTAATGTAAAGGGGTGATTTTTGGATCATTTAGTGGATGGTGGTCGGGATCGAACTTGATACATGTTTTGTATTTGGATAAAATTGCTCTGTCCTTTTATCAGTTGAGCTACATGATGAAAGCAGATATCTTTAAAGAATTAGGGTGTGAGAATCGTAAAATTATTACAGAAATATGTTAACAGATGTCAGTATGTAAATGTTAACATAGTTTAAAATAAATTTAACATATTTTAACATTAATATCAACATCTGTTAATGTATATTAATATGTTTAACTTGTGAACATCCACTAACAAATACTTTATACGCTTCCTGAGAAATTTTAATTTCCTATCGAAACCTAACACCTCTTGAAACTCCAACTTTTCGTGAGCTCCTATTCTTGGGCCCCGACACTCTGTATTTCAATATATCACATTAATGATAGGGTTTGTTTGACACCTAACTCGATATATAAATCACACTGAATTGTCAGGTTACTGTTTTTTTTTATTTAACTCAAAATTATGGAATAAGACATCGATTTCTAAATAACGTCAATTTTATTGGCATTATCTATACTATATTATAAAACATTTGACAAAAACTCTTAGAACCCATTTATATGCATAAAGTATTGTTTCTTAATGCATATTACTTAAACTTTAATATTACAAGTAAATTGTGCGTAAGTACAACTTATTAAAGCTCTATTTTGAATTCGTATAACTAACTGCAGATAAACATAATTAAATACATGATAAATATCTTATTTTAAATATAAAAAGTTTAAAATATAATTAGTATAATCATTGAGTTCTAACAGAATCATTATCTTTATAAAAAAATATATTGTTAAACCCAAAAAAATAAATTACTTCGCTATTAGACATAAATTAAATTATAATAAAAATTAAATTAAAGAAATTGTACAAAAAATGAAAACTTTTAAATAACTAATTTGATATTAATATCGATATATTTTTTCATGTTTTTATATCTTCAAATATATTTTTATTCAAAAGTAAAAACACTATCTTTATTAAAACTATATAAACCGTAATATATCAATAGAAACAAAAAAATAAAACGAAACATTAAAGTGAAGATGTATCTAGCTGTTTTGCGCGAATACCGTTCTAGTTTAAAAAAATACGTTTTTTAATGTTGCATTTTTCTTAAAATGTACGTTTTCTGTCCAAAACTCTTATGTACAACCTTAGACATGTCTCTTCTATTTCTATCTATGAAACTTTGAACCCCAAACCCCTCCATCGAAACCTCTTCGTCTCTATTTGAATGTTGTATCATGGTTTTTTTAAGAAAAATAGGTTTGTTACTATTGACTTTGTTTTTGGTTGATAATGAATGTAGCAAATGTCTTTTGTGATGTTCGATAGAATTCGTGTTACCCAAGTTAAGCAAGCCCCTAATGATTAAGGACCTTAATTGTGTGACATATTTTCCTTTATTTGGTTGGGGCTTCAACATGTATAAGACGAACAACGTTATTGATCGATGATGTTTGACATGGTACCAATGGAGCTCGATAGTATTTTATGCTTGCTCGATGGCAATAGCAACGACAAGGAGAACAAAGGACCTTTATTGAGTGTGTGCTTGATAAAGATTCAATAGGAACTCAACTGAAGTTCAATATTACCATTGGAGAGTCTAATCGAAGTTGCAAAGTGGGGAGGTCAACAGGAGAACATGAAAGGTCGACAAGAGATTATGTGAAAGAACTGGGTAGCTTCAAAATGCAGTAGAACTTTTGGTGGAGCATGAAGAACATGAAAAGAAATTGAAGGAAAGGAGAGGAAAATGTTAATCCAAGTTTCAATCAGACGACGATGAATTATATCAATAGAAACAACAAGTAGAGATCAAATCATCATGTCATTGATTAACCTTTCGTTACAATATGTTTCTCCCCCTAACTTTTCTCTAGAATGTATTACAATGAAAGTGCTTACATTAGTTACAAGTAAGCTATGATTTTTATACTCTAACAATCTCCTCCTTTGAAGACGATCAAACTTTGTCACAAAACGTATCTTCAGCTTAAAAAACTTCATCTTGAAATGGTCTACAGTAATCAATAGTCAACAGATCTTCAAACTTTTAAATCAAGCATCTACAATCTTTAAATCCAATGGCTTTTCAACCTTATTCAAAAGATTTAGATTCAACTCGTCTCTTCTATAAACTGATTCAACAACAATACAATTAACCAATCACTTGAAATCATTAACTGCCTTTACACATATGAACATGAATATTTGTAAGCTCCCCCTTTAAATCAGCACTTGTTTCACATTTTTTTTAATTCAATATTATTTCTCCCGCATAACATCTTATTTTCATGTCTTTTAACTCTTCGTGTCATTGCATAATGTTTGTCTTCATGTCTTTGTTCATGTCTTTGATATTATTTCTCCCTCTCATGACGATTAGGAGAATCCTGAGCATCATGAACAGTCAAAGACTGAAACTTCTCCCATTCAAAACAAATATTCTCCCCCCCCCTAAAATTTGATCGCTTCCAAGCAAATTCTCTCCCCTCAGAAAATGGTTAATCGTCTAACACATAAAAATAGTAACTGTTATCACAATAATCGAAATAAATTCAATTGAGTGGCCTATTTTCAGAGTTGGCAATTATGAATCTCTGATAGGACTTCTAGTTTTCATTGAAGTAACATAAAACTCACTTTTCAAACTCTTCCGACATAATCACAAAAGAAAATGCAATTTGAATCACAAAGACTCGTGAATATGTAGAAGAAAATATCATTAAGATATGGCTCAATTTAGAGTCAATGTGCATGATTGAAGTGCGAAGGTAGGACAAACTTCCTTGTTTTTCAATATACAAGTCTTCCAAATGAAAACTAGATAGATTATATGTTTCTTCCTCATGAAAATTGAAACATTTCCTTGTTAAGAAAGAAATGAGTAGTTGATGGGGTTAAATCAAAAGTTTGCATGGGCTCACTGCTTTTTCCAATGAAGGTCACGAAAGAATTGTGAACCAACATTAATGTGGTTGCCCAGTTTGAATTGGTTGTGACAAAGTTCTCATTTCTTTTAACTCTGTTCTCTCATCCTCCGTATTTTTTTTTAATAAACACCTCACTTCTAACAAACTCTCAATTTCATTTTTCCGCTTAGCACAATGAGATTTCTCAACCGTACGAGTTATCTCCCCCACTCTTTTATTAAAGATCCCTCTCCTCTCAATCACTCAAGAATTACTTCTTGGGTAGGGCTACCGGTTATGGTAGTCCACAGAAGTACAGTTAATATCAAACGTTGATCCCATGAAATATGTTCTAAATTTTTTAAAGGTATTATTCTTTGAAGTTCAATGAAATTTCAGAAGTCAATATCTGAAGCAGGAGTACTGAACTGATATGTTTAGAAGTCAAACAAAATGAATTATACAGGTTCTAAACAGAAGTATTTAGAAGCTAAACATGAAAGTATACATTTAGAATCGTCAATGCTAAACAAAATGACTCATTACGCACGATGTTTACAAACAAATATTCAATGATTAGAATGTTTAATTGTAAAGAGCAAGTCACATTTATTATTTCAGATAATAATTGAGTCATTGATATGAAATGAATTGAATGTAAGCAGTGAGAATTCAAGCGAATGTATTTCCACCAAAAATTTCAACAAATGTATAATACGTGGAAATAACTAAGTCAAGAAAATTTAACACATGGAAATTCAAGGATTGATTTTAAATCGAAAAAAAACAAACACAAGTAAGTTTATTTGATTAAACTACCATGGTTCACAGGAAAATCAAAATACGTTTATTTACACAATATGGTACTCCCCAGAGTAGCATAACCTTTTCAAATCCAGTCATGTGATAAGAAAATTTGAATGAGAATGCACATGACATTTCTGCAAAAAAAAAAAAGTCAAAAAGATTTTGGTACACATGCTTTAATGGGTCCCCTGGAAGGTTAGCTTTTAAACCACTAATCAAGGAATCGGGAAATCAGGGATACTATAGGTACCATACTATTCATTAACATAGCTTCGGTTGACAAAATCATTTGCTCTGCATGTTAAACAACAAATATTTTCTTGGCTCAGACTGTTCAACTTATTTATAGATCTGACATAATAAGGCAAATCAGTCCTGGAAACAAATGATTTTGTATCAACTATAAGAAATTAATGTGGCTTGTTTCCAGGATTGTCCTTTGTAAATGACCAAAATGTCATTTTTTGAAAATTTTAATTTTTTTAAAACTTAAAATACTTTAATAAAATAATTATTTAATGTGTAAAACAATATAAAATACAACCCAAATATTACCATAAACCAAACAACATTACTAAATCGACAGTGG